GCAATAATAACCTCACAAAGAGAGAGGCCTACTGGATGTGTACCAAAAATTACTAAGCATCCTCTGGTAGGTGCTTGTGAATGGACCTTCTCTGTTGCAGTTTACATACTCTGGAATGCTCTTCCTTCTAAAAGTGGGAAGACATCTATTGTAACATCTTTTAGGTGCCACTTGAAATTATATTTATTCATTCATTCAATTTATATTGTCACCCATCTCACCTTAAATGAATTTTGATGGCTTACATAATTAAAAAATGATTAAGAGTAAAAACAGAATAAAAGCCATAAAATACAATTAATTAAAGCAATAAAAATGAATTTGTGGCAGAGTATAATAAATTACTAACAATTACCAGGATTTGTATTAAGTCTTGGCTCCCAGACATGATGATAAACCAAGCCTTAAGGGGTCTTCTAGAAAGCCAGCAGGTTGAAGTCTTTCTTTTCCACCCAGCTTTCATAATATGAAAGCTGGAAGATTTTATTTTTCTCTTTCCCACCACCATTTTAAGTATGTGTTACTGAATATTGCATTCTATGTTTTATATTGTGTGAAGCATTGCTTTGTTATGTATTATATTGGTCTTTTTTGTTGTAAACTAGTTTGAGAAAGCATGTGTCAATTGGCATAGGAATGAGGTATATAAATCATCATCTTCAACTTTTGCATTCCTAAGTGAAAAATAGCCAGGATTGAATATGTAAAATGAATTAGTAGAGTTTTAAAATCAAAGCTGAATGCTGACAATAAAATAAAAGCTATTAATATTTAAACTGTCTTTGGAATATGCTACATAACCGGTATTGCTGATTTGACACAGGTGGAACTAGATGCTTTAAACTGTAGAACCCAAAAGCTTATGGCAATAAATCATGCCTTATACTCAAAAAGTGAAATAGATCATTTGCTATTTACCAAGGAAAATTGTTTTACTTTGTTGCAAATGAAATAGCTAGTGAAGGACAAAATCCAAAGTCCAAATGATTATATCAAAGCAAACAAAGAGAAGATACTAAAAATGTCAATAAGGAAAACATTTTAAACATAGCAGAATCAAAGATGACACAAAGCTGAACAGTTACAACAGTAAATGAAAAACTGGAAACATAAATCTCTACACAGTCAATACTTGAAAAAAACTTGAAGGCAAGGTGAATAGGAAACAAAGCTTGGCAATAGCGTCAGGTTAGATCCATCAAGAAGGAAACAAAAGGTTTGATATTTGCAGTACCAGAACAAGCATTAGCAAAGCAATAAAAATTAGAATACCCTCTTCCCTCAAAATTCTTATGCAAAGAGAAAAACAAGATTGTTGACTACAGAATCAGTAGCTGTAGCAACACTGACTAGATAAGTCAAGGTATTTATTTGTTTGTTTCTTCATTTATTTATGAAAATTTATATGGCTGCCCAACTCATTGTCAGTGATTCTGTGATATAATCAGACAGCAAAAATGAATTTTGCAAATAGTGCAAAAACATGGATCTGATGCCCCCAAATATTGTTACAATCATAATATTAATATTGGAAAAGTTCTCCAGAATGATCATGTAAAAACATTTGTAGGGTTTCAGATTCAAACTGTCAGACCTGCCAAATACGTAAACCTCTAAGTAGAAACAATTCTTGGCCCCATTTGTTGAGAAAGGTATACTTTCATTAGAAGTCAAGTGCAGTGCCTAGCCAGAACGAGAATCATGCACCAAAATCCCTAAATTCAACTATTTGCTCCCTTAATTGCCTCCTATCGATGACACCCTCGCTCCTCCATGGCCAATCAGGTTTTAGCAAGATGATTTCAAAACAGTCACTTCAAATATAGGTTGGTATGCAGCTGCATTCTTCTCCCAGCCGAGTGACCTTGAAGCAGCATCTCGGGGAGATAGAGCAGTTAATTTTATTTTCCTCCAAGCATCTCCCCTCCCATCTCCCCTTCCCAGAGTTCATGGCAGATTGTCATCACATGGCAACAAAACACACAAGTCAGTGTACAGTGGCAGCTGACACAAATTGACAAACATCTAGAACTTAAAATGCACCAAGGATACATCATTTTATTAAAAAATACTTTTACTTATAACTCTATAGATTTTGTCCCATTGACCCACAGTTTCCCCCTGGATCCATCTGTATATTATGAATAACAATTGATAGCTCATTTTACCATACAATCCCTAACTTATCTAGTTTCAAATCTCAATACAAGTTTATAATTTTTTTGCAATTATATCTTTATAATTTGTACATAAATCATTTTCAAATTCCATTTTATAATTTTCAATTCCAATTGCCTTTTTGTATATATTAAATCTTACTTTCAGTGGTGTATATGAAAAACTATGTCCCTCTCCAGCCAATTATTCTCTTGGCTTAATCTTAATTTCTCCATCTTCCTGTATTAATAAATCTTGACAGTTTATGATTTTTCTGTTGTTTCTCTTTTGTAAAAGTTGTTTTGGGGCACAATTCTGGGTTTGAATTTATTCCATTTTCTTAATATTACACATCCCACATAATGATTTAAAACTATATTAACTCTATCATGCTCTAAAAAACTTTGTCAACCAAACCTCAAGTTATGTTTTCCTAATTCTATCATTCTTCTATTTCTCACCAACACTCTTTCAAACTAAACAGCAGGCTGCAAAATACAATTTAAAGTAAGGTAAACATAGTCTTCCTCTAGATCATTCATTTTTTTTATCACAAAGATTCTACCTAACATCACTACAATCTTAGTAACTGAAATATAGCGTTTAGAAAATAATCCAGCCAAGGTTTTCCCTATAATTATTAGAACATCTAGAAATATAATAATGGAATTGGCAAAACGCTTTACAAAATTAGAACTATTTGACCTCAGATTTTGTTTACAAACAACTTTATTCAGAAGCACAATAGCACATACATATTACAGCAAAGAAAAAAACCCAGCCTGCTGCTAAAAGAGGAGATAAATTATTCTGGCTCTAGAGATCCTAATTTAATCCATTTTGGAAGATTACAAAATTACTGTTACAAAGTTCTCTCTTTTGGATTCTGTCAAGGAATTGCTTATCTGGTGCCTAGGAGATTATGGAAAGAGCTGTGTCAGGCTATTAATCTTATGTAGCATGGAAGGAAAACCTGCAATAAAATAGTACATGGTGCCCTTCTCAAACTGTATCTGTTCTATTTGTAACAAAACAATTCCTTTCTAATATTCCAATTAAAACAATGCTTCAGGGGGAAAAAGCCCTGCTGAAATCATCTATTGTTCAGAATAGCCTTTTCCAGAGATCTGGTGAAGGCTTTAGTTGTTGTTACTGATGATGTCATTATTTAAACTGATATCTTATTTTTCTCCTTAGCAAATAGCTTACTGATTTTATTCCCCAGAACCTTATGAGAAAGATTGGGCTAAGCAAAAAAATTACTGGCCCAATCATCCAGTGAGATGTCATAGTTAAAAGCTGATTATTTTCTTTACTTTTTACTGCCTTTTCTGAATTATTCCAAATTTTAAACATTTATTCGAAAGTATAGCATAGCACGAATGACCTAACCAGTTCCTGCATTTTCGCTGCTTTAACAGATTTTTCTCTTCAATCTGTAGGCAATATACACAAAAGATGTTGGATGGCCTGAATTACTTGTCAAATTTTGGCTCTATTTCTGCAGCTCTTTTAACTTTTCTCCTTCTAATAGAAAAGAATGTATGTAGCTCAGGGTTCAGCTATGGAATCCTTAATGCTGTCAGAGCTTAGTTGTTTTCTAGCAGACATTTCATTAATCTAGTAAACAACAGCATTAATGCTCATGAATGTAGGGTTTATTGCCTGTTTATATACTGTAGCCTGCCCTGCCAATGTTGGTAGGAGGTGTAATTTTCTCTTTAGTAGGTATTTCGTAGGAGTATTGTTTGTTGCTTGATTGTTTGCCTGGTGTTAATTTCAGAGATTTTCTCCTTCTGTACAGATTAACATTGATTTACAATGGTTCATTTAATGACCGTTCAAAGTTACAACAGCATGGAAAAAGTGACTTATGATCGTTTTTCATGCTTACGGCTGTTGCAGCATCCCTATCAGTGGTGGGATTCAAATTTTTTTACTATCAGTTCTGTGGGCGTGGCTTGGTGGGCGTGGCAGGGGAAGGATACTGTGAAATCTCCAGTCAGAGGTGGTATTTGCCGGTTCTCTGAACTACTCAAAATGTCCGCTACCGGTTTTCCAGAACTGGTCAGAACCTGCTGAATAGCATCTCTGGTCCCCATGGTCAAAATTCAGACGTTTGGCAACCAGATGTTTTGTGACCATCTGACAAGCAAAGTCAATGGGAAATCCAGATTCCCCTAACAACCATGTTACTAACTTAACAAATGCAATGATTCACTTAATAACTGTGATAAGAAAAGTCGTAAAATGGGCCAAACTCACTTGGCAAATGTTTCCCTCAGCAACATAAATTTGGGGCTCAATTTTGTTCGCAACTCGATGACTACCTGTAGTAGAGTTAGCACTACACACAATGGGATTTGGGATTCCCCCTGGCCTCCTGCCATGCCAACTGGAATCTCAGCTTGATCTTTGCCACTGCTTAAAGGGTAGGGGTGGGGAACATGGGGATATTTGCAGCAGTTCTTATTGAACCGATGAGCCTCGGTGGCGCAGTGGTTAGAGTGCAGTACTGCAAACTACTTCTGCTGATTGTCGGCTGCCTGCAATTTGGCAGATCGAATCCTACCAGGCTCAAGGTTGACTCAGCCTTCCATCCTTCCAAGGTGGGTAAAATGAGGACCCAAATTGTTGGGGGCAAGATGCTGACTCTGTAAACCGCTTAGAGAGGGCTGTAAAGCACTATGAACCGGTGTATAAGTCTAAGTGTTATTGCTTATTAATATCAAATGTTTCCTAACAGAGTAATTTTCTTTTGGCGTGTTTCTGGTAAGGATTTGGAAACAGAAATATTAGCAAATGCTAAGTACCTATCCCTGGGTTTTCTCTCTGACTGGTAGGCTGACAGCTCAATGGAGTGTGGAGGATGAGGAGGAAGCTGCAAGGGAGCGACGTCGAAGGGAACGTGAGAGACAACTGAGATCCCAGGCAGAGGAAGGCCTCAACAGCACCTCTGAAGTGGCAGTACAAGAAAGCAGGTAAGTTGGTGCCTGGCATATCAATGTAGCAATGAGGGTCAGGCTGAACTACTATAATGCTTTAAAGCAGGGGTATCAAACTCAATTTCCTTGAGGACTGTATCAGGGTTGTGTTTGACCTCAGGGGGGTGAAGTAGGCATGGCCAGGGTAGGCATGGCCAAGTCAACATCACTCATGTCAGGGATGTCTGTGGTGTCCCAAATGTTCTGCCAGCGAAAACAGGGTCCAGCTTTGTTTTCAGCTGTGACGCCTCCTGCAGCCCTCTGCCAATGAAAATGGAGTTCAGGAGGCCTTCTGAGCTTCGTTTTCACTGGCAGAGGCACCGTGGGCCGGTCCTTTGCGGTTTCCAGGGTGGCCCTGTGGGTTTCCAGGCCACCCCCATGGGTGGCCCCTGGCCCCTGAGTTTGACACCCTGCTTTAAAGGAAATTAGGAAATTTCAGTTAATGCAGAACTGAGTCTTCTCTCTTGGTGTTGGTTCATAGGACTCTTAATATTGTCAATGCTCAGCTAAAAGTCTGATTTAATAGGGGAAAAGTTTAGTTTTCTGAAGGACTATCCCTGTCAATCTGACTTTTATATCAGCAAAAGTAGCTTATCTTAGTCCGCTGTCTCTGAGAACAGGCAGTTGTCAGGTGTGAGCCATAGATATTTATCTGCAATGGCTCCATATTTTTGGAACTCCTTGTCAACCGATGTTCATCTACTACTATTGGTGTAAGCCTTTAAGAAACTCCTCAGAGTTTCAGTCTTATCTCTATTTGTATGGCTGCGGGAAGTGCAGTATTTTATTTATAGTATTATTGGAAGGTAGGGATGCTTAATTAACACTACCATGGTCATTGGGATTAATTTGTGCATTTAATGTTGGCAGAGATTTGCCTCCCAGTTGCTTTGAGGGGGCCTAAAAAGCAATGTAAAACATAAAGTTATCCATCAACTATCATCAACTGTACATGAATGTGTGGCTGATAAAGAAATATGTAGGCATCTTACTAGGAATAAATTAATTTGATGCACATAATCACACACACACAGAGTTTCATACTGAGAAACAGGAATAGATGATCAGCGTGTTATGTCCAGAGGTGGAATTCAGTAGGTTGTGGCCAGTTCTGGAGAACCGGTAGCAGAAATTTTGAGTAGTTTGGAGAACCATCAAATACCACCTCTGACTGGCCCTGCCCCCATCTATTCTCTTCCTCCTGAGTCCCAGCTGATTGGCTGGGTCTTCTTTTGTTACTCTGCATAGGAGAATGGAGCTGGAAAGTAGGTTAGTGGGGTGGGGAGGGAATGGAGATTTTACAGTATCCTTCCCCTGTCACACCCACCAAGCCATGCCCACAGAACCAGTAATAATTTTTTTGGAATCCCACCACTGGTTATGCCAGCACAGAACACACCAAATAAATCAACTTCCTGGGGTTAAGTACTGCACTGTGGATGCAGTAATCTAAAGGAATATCATGGACTTTCTCTAAAGTTGGCTTGCTAAACCTAGTGAAGGCTTTTCCAGATAAAAGGAATTTCACCTCTTAGAATTTCCGACACTATTGTTGCAACAGTGTGACTGGAGCACATCAGGTTGGGGAAGTCAAAGAGCAGCCATCAACCAGACAGTCAGTATGAATAGGCTTAATAGGTACAGGTTGTCCTTGACTTACAACAATTCATTTAATGACCATTCAAAGTTACAACATCACTGAAAAAAGTGACTTATGACCATTTTTCACACTTACAACCCATTACAGCATCCCCATGGTCATGTGATCAAAATTCAGATGCTTGGCAACTGACTCAGGCTTATGATGGCTGCCATGTCCTGGGGTCATATGATCACCTTTTGCAACCTTCTGACAAGCAAATTCAATTGAGAAGCCAGATTCACTTAGCAACTGTGTTATTAATTTAACAAGTGCACCGATTCACTTAAACTGTGGCAAGGAAGGTCATAAAATGGGGCAAAACTCACTTAACAAATGTCTCACTTAGCAACAGACATTTTGGGCTGAGTTGTGGTCGTAAATCAAGGACTACCTGTATCATATTTAGTGGTCTTCCATGCAAATGCTTCAAAATGCACTGCATTAATTCGTGTACCAGGATGGGTTGACAGGACTCCAAATTTGGTTCAGAGCAGCCACTCCCTGGACAATCTCTGCTGGAATCCTTGTGGCAGCTGTTATGTGCACACCCATACATTCTCAGTTATTTACAAATTGTCAATACTTGTATGATATAAATATTTACATGCAAGATGTCTGGGAAAAGAAGTATGTTTTGCTTTCAGGCAGGCCTCTTTAGGGAGGATATTTCACAGCAGGTCACAAATCAGCCCTCTATCTTGTAGCCACTGGCTGAAGTTCATTTGATAGTGGCACTTGAAGGAACTCTGTCCTGACAGCTCAAACCAGGATCCTAGCAACAAAGATCTGAACTATACTTTGGAGAGGGAGTATGAATGAACCCTCACTACACGCTCGTCATTTTATTTTTTTCCCTTCAGCTTCAGAAATGCCAATACTCTTAGATATTTCAGCTGCTTGAAATGCAGAGCTGCTACTTGAGGCTTAGGATGCAGTAACAGCCTTCTCCAAAAGCTGTCCAGCGATTGCTTCAAAAGTGGTTGTGGGACAGCAGTAGGAGAATGGAGGACAAGCCACAAAGTATCTTCACTATCGTTCCTCAGCATCTTCTACTTTGGGCAGCTCCATCAGTGTGCATGATATGAAAATGAATCTTAATAAAGTATCTCTTTATTAGTTGTTTCTAATTATGAAAGTGTCTATTGTACATTTGCTGGTAGAAATTATAGACAAATCTATGTAACTAAACTAAACTTTACTTAACTAAAGTTATGGAGATTCTTTGATAGAATAGAATAGAATAGAATAGAATAGAATAGAATAGAATAGAATAGAATAGAATAGAATAGAAT